AGCTCTCTCTGGTCTCCATCAGAATAAAAACATCTCTGCAGAAGGTGCTGTGCAGTGGCTCTGGAGAGCTGCAGTCTATGACTGATGAAGAACTTTCAGAGCCTGTCTATTCACTTTTAACATCCTTCTCGCTTTATCTCTCTACTTCCTGTCCCCTGTGAACTCAAACTCTCTCGTCTTCTGCCTCTTTCGTGCCTGTTGGTCCTAAGAGGTGAACAGCGAGCTCTCCATCCTAAACTCTCTCTCGTTTCAAATGAGATCTCTCGTACTTTAACCGTCCTGCAGTAACACCTCAACCATAGGGGTCCTTGGTTTTTTTTTTTTTAGCTTTTCCTCTAATTACGTGAATTGTGGAGGCACACAGAAACGCTGCTATTTTAAAAAGTTGATGTTCAAGAGAGTGAATATATCTCTTCAATTCTCCAGGCGGACCGAAACGAACAATGGGAAATTTCTCTTTAGCTCGCCTGCTGTTTTTCCACCGTTAATTGTCTTCAAACTCTCCTGTGAGATACTTTTAGAGCAGATTAGTTTCTCTTCTATCGCTTTTCAAATAAAAACTACACTGCAGTCTCAGCACACTGATGATAAACAAACGCTCATACTGGAGATGTGCTAAAATGTTGACCAAAATAATGATAGCTAAAAAAAAAATACTCATTTTATGGTCAATGAGCATTATATTACATTATTAAAAATCTATACTATTAAAAATATTTCCATTAATTGAAATAAAGTTGAAATCAAATAAAAGTATTATTAAAATTAAAAATGTTGCCTTGGCAACGATCTGAAATAAAATAAAAAATAAAGTACTAAAATTATTAAAACTAAAACTGAAGAGAAAAAATAAATAAATTAAAGCTAAACAGAAATATAAAAAATCCTTTATATTATATTATAATTATATTATAAACTTGAATTATATAATATAATATTATATTATATTATATTATATGATGTTTCTTGAGCAGCAAATCAGCATATTATACTGATTTCTGAAGAATCATGTGACACTGAAGACTGGAGC